CTCCCGAGTAGCTGGGATTACAGGCACCCGCCACCACACCTGGCTAATTTTTGTATTTTTAGTAGCAACAGAGGTTTCACTGTGTTGGCCAGGCGGGTCTTGAACTCCTGACCTCAAGCCATCTGCCCTCTGCAGCCTCCCAAAGGGCTGGGATTACAGGCATGGGCCACAGTGCCCAGCCTCCAGAGTTTTTGGGGGTTTTTTTGTAATAAAATAAAGATAGGGTCTTGCTCTGTCACCCAGGCTGGTCTCAAACTCCTGGGCTCCCACCTCAGCCTCCCAAAGTGCTGGGCTGGGATTACAGCATCCACCACTCTGCCTGGTGGTCATGCAGAAGCATTTTATATCCGTGTAGGGAACCGTTTGCAGTTCACATTCCCAGCCCCAGCTCCGGGCAGCTTTGCGGGCCGGGCTTCCTGAGCACAGCGGTCCCAGGCCCTGGGTGTGACTCTCTGCTGCCCGGTTCTAAGCTGTACGTCTGGCTGCTTGCGCTCCTCCGCTGCACTGTCGGCTCTCCTGACCTCAGGGTCCTGTTCTTGCCTGTGCTCGGCAGCCACCCGTCTGCCTGTCGGAAGAGCCGTTCCCCGACCTGCTCTGCCTGCGGTGCTGCCCTGGTCAAGGGTTCCTGTTTTCCGACTGCTTCCGCCGCCTCAGTGTGCTTCACGGTCCCCCGCCCTCCCCACCTGACCCCAGGGCTCCCCAGTGTCGGCTTCCCCATGTTGGGCCTGAGCCATATTTGAGAAGCACAGATCTCAAGTGTCTTTCTCCTGCCTCAAAGCTCCTCTGATTCCTCCCCAGTTGATTTTGGGGTAAGTTCCAAGCTTCCCGTGCGTGTGGACGAGACTTGTAGTGACCCGGCCCCAGTTGCCCCATCGCAGGCCCCAGCGTGGTGCCCCCGCCCACAGCACCCACGCCTGACAGCTCTGTCCCCTTTCCTCCTGCTCCCCTGCCTCCCGGAGCGAGTCAATGCCTCCCTTTGTGCGTTCCCACCGCTTTTCCAGGCCTCTGTCCACCCCACCTGCCATCCCTTGCGATTTCAGAATGCACCCGGGGAAGGCAGCCCAGTGCCCCTACACTTCCTGAATAGTGAGGTTCCAAGAAGGGTTTTGTTTGGCTTTGGTTCGTCTTCCTATGTGAACTTGTAGGGATGTAGATGTAAAAGGGGTCCGATACCCCACCCTCACTTCGCCAAGCGGCCCAAAGCACAGCCCCTTCTGCACTTATGTCTTTGGACTCTTCTCCCGAGTCACAGGTTCCCAGCTGCGTAAACCCAAACTTAAAGAATTGTCATCTGTGGGGTGTCTGTGGGATCCCCGCAGCGGCACCACTCACTGTCCTGTGGGAGCGTTCAGCATTCACATTTGGGAAGAATCCCTATGCGTGCCTAAGTTTTTTGCCCCCTTTTTTTTTTTGAGGTGGAGTCTCACTCTGTCGTCCAGGTTGGAGTGCAGTGGCGCGATCTCAGCTCACTGCAAGCTCCGCCCCCGGGTTCCTGCCATTCTCCTGCCTCAGCCTCCCGAGTAGCTGGGACTACAGGCGCC